GAGTTTGATTGTTAATTTGTAGAATCTAACAAGATTTAGTAGTGTGTGCCAAATTGGCCAGTAGTTATATGAATTTAGAGAGGGTGTGCACTTATAGAAGATGCATTTACGGAAGTTTTGCTATAATTTAAGAGAATTAATATGTTCTTAAACTTTGTTAGAAGACCAAGTTAATATTTTTAACTTATTAGCTTAAGAGCAAAAAGTAATAAAGGACGTCAAGAAAATTATAAAGTTTTTAATTTTGTGAAGAATTAGGTTTTCATTATTATATTTGAAAAGAGTAAGCATGATGAGCATATAATCTGACAGGCAGTTATTTAATAGAATTATAGAATACTATTTTATATATTTTATATACAATACAATAAGTTATTAAATAATTTATTTTGAAACTAATAGTTGGCTTTTTGTAAGTCTCAATTCTGATATTAACTAACTAGTATTAGATTTTAAGTTAAAATATAAGAATCTAATTTTACTATTTTAAAATAAATAATATACAGTATTAATTTTATACTATTTCTGATAAATGTTCTTTATCCAATTTATAATCTCATTTATTTCTAAGACACATTTTTTATTATTTTTTTTCACTATGGTTTTTAATACCAATTCTATATTAATTGTATTTGTCAAGATATTCAGTATGCTTTTTCAATCCCAGTTTTACATAACAGAATGTATTTTAAAAATATATCTCATTCTGGTTATTGTTATTAATAATAAAAGAATATATTATATTCAACTTTTTAATTTTAGCTAACTAATTGTTTGTTTTGTCAGCAGGTTTCACATAATTACTTTTTATAATAAATGTTTAGATATTGGTTAAATCATAAAATTTTTTATTACTCATGAGCATGTGAAATGAATATTAGTTCAAAATCTATTATTTGAAAATAATAAGTATTCTACATAACTACTTTAAAATACAAAATTTAGAATTTTAGTACTCATAATTAGTAATGATCACTACCTATATTTTTTGCAGTTTTAGAGTAAGACAAGGGTCAGATATAACAATAAAGGTTCAAATTTTAATTAGAGTTGGAGGTTCTGAACATTTTTGTTTAATATCCCTGATATGAATTAGCTACGTAATAGATTTTTGATCACTACCGGTTATAGTTAGCAAAATCCTAATTTTTTAAATAAAAATTGCTCTTACTGTTTGTTGATTTTTTAATTTTTTTGGTTTGGGCTAGTTAGAGCAGTGTCATTTATTATCTGATTTTTTTTTTATTAGAAGCTTACCCTCTCTCCTCTTAATATAAAAAAAAATCAGGTTCTTATATATAATTTTAACTTTTTTACCCCCTCTAAAAAATTACTTGATTTTTGTCACATCCCTTAGGCATTGAGCAGTAAATATCATGTTTTGCTAAATTTTGAATATATTGTGCAACTTCTTTATGCAGGTACTATTGTCGTTCTAAATTGATTTTTTGTGAAACAATTACATCTAAGAGAATTAATCTATTATTTTTAGTTTTTGGTATTGAAGAAACTTTCGCAATTGAAATTTCAGTTTCATCATCATCAAATGACTTTTGAACTTTTACTTTTCTAGGATGTTCACAAGATATAACAAAATGATGCTGCATGAGAAAAAATGGAACTGTAGTAAAAAACTAATCTAAAAATTGTCTTCAATTATAAAAAATAATTTTTTTATTTCCATTAAATCAACAACCGTATCTGCTTTGTTATATCCACCAACCATAGATTGTTCAACAATATAAATTAAATCTTCTAGATCATTTGCTTCTGAATTTCTAAGTTTTAATTTAAACAAGCCAAAAAAACTATCTGGCCCAAACTTTGTATGACCAAGAACTATAAAGCTATAAGTAATTATATCATACAAACCGTTTATTACCTGTCAAGATAGATATTTGATCATTGTATTGTTTTTGTTCTGGCTTATACAATTGTCTGCATGCCATTTTTCACCAAGGCTATAGGTAGCAAAGTAATGATGAACAAGAGATATTACAGTATTTGGACCTTTCTCAACACTCTGATCTTCTGAAATAAGATAATTTATCTAAAGAATTAAGTAATAATGATAGAATAGAAATATTAAAATTTCAAATATATTTTACTAATCAATTTGTAATATATAGTAATACTAGGTAAATACAAAACATTATTTGTTTGGAACTTATTTAAATTTATTAGAGTTTTAAACTTTTTTGTACTAAGTTAATTATCTTTGAGTTTCTAATTAAAGTTATAAAGCTTATTAAGATAATTCTAATGATAGTTAATTAGTAATT